CGTCAGCACTTGTAGAACCACTCAAAGGCTCAGCACCTTACATGGTGCTCTGTATTAATACTCAAGTTTACTGTAGGTAAATACAATTATAATTGTAATCCAACCAAACTATGGCTTTTAGAGTGAAAGAGCCAGTTGAGTGGATCGGAAAGCCTATATTTTAAGATATTTTTATAAAGTAAGATATGTTAACATTCCCCTCAGCTTAAAAATAAGTTTTCTATTTTTTTGATATGCAGAGCACGATTTTACTAAATTAAATACATACAAAAAAAGAAAAAAAACTGTGAAACATTTTGTTGACATCAGAGCACTCAAATATTTCCAAAACGATAAACTGGAGGTCCCTAACAAATAACACATTTATATGGACATTGATATAACATTATGCTGATTAGTTAAAACTTAAATATTCAAATTGTATATTTAACTCTCATTTGCACAAGGTAAATATAACGATTTGCTGTTTAAGCTATGGTTGATTTTGGTACAGTATAAAATAATCAATTTATAGTATCAAATAAAAATGTATTACTATTAAAAACATTAGCACATGAATTCTCATAGGTTATGCACAAAATGTTAATCAGATAAGATTTGTAAACGATAAAATAGCTCGAACCTTATCTTTACAAGTGTACTTCCAACTCTGCATTTACAAATTCTGCATTTACAAACGGTAAGGGATAATTAATAAGCATTGTCTGAACAAACTACTTGGGAACAATCTCAAAGGCAATTTAAGTTGTATAAGATACGATCATAGATAACCCATTCTCCTTTATAGATATATTATCATTTACTATCATATTATCATTACTATATTATCATTTATTATCATTATATTATCATTTAGATATATTATGAATTTACTACCTACAAAATAGATTAATGTTTCCTTTCAATTTAAGAAAATGAAGTTTTTTTTGTGTCTAGGATGAACCTAAAAACTAAACATAAGAATCTAGTTGTAAAGATGTCTTTGCCTTCTAATAGCTAATTAATAATTTTTTTTTCAATTAATGTTTAAAATAATTATTCCCTTTGAGAGAAATATTTAGCTCAATCAACGTAAAACGCACAAAAACAGGATAAAAACTTCTCAAGAGGATAACAGCTTTACCTATGCTTGAATAACTTCTTGATCAGCATCGTACGTGTTATAAAATTACCTGAAAATACGAAAAAATACGTCTAATAACACTTGTAATAATATTTTTAGGCCAACACTTAAACTGTTGACTCACAAGATGGTAAGTGGTAATCGATGTCGATTGGACACTCCAATCATCATCAGACCCAATAGGTTCATTCTCATTGCTGGAAAATTACGGTTCAAATGTTATTGCAGAATTTGTTATTTTACCCATAAAATATCATTAACATTCCCACCATCTATAAGGTTTGTTGAGAAGGTGAGAGAAAGTAATTGTCAGTTTGCTGATACAGTTTATTTTTATTTGTATATAGCACTTTTATATATTTTTTTGTTCTCTAACATTAATAGCAGTACTTGTAAGGTAAGTAAATCATCTTGGGTTATAAAATTAAATACTGGCTTTTTACCAACTAACTAATGTACTTATAAAGGTATAGCCTAATTTTCCACTAACAATAGGATTGCCTGTTTCAGGTATTGCTCAACATATTGTATAGTTACAACTCTACTGGTAAGCTAAATTTAAATACATTTTATATTTATTTTTTATTAGATAAGATTGCAAGAACTGGGTTTTTCAACATAAGTGACTAGTTTTTAACAAGCAAAATTATAATAAATATTATGTCTTATAACCTGATTTCATAACCTATTTATTTTCTTTTGATTTTTTTCTGTTTTGTTTCTTTCTGGTTATTCATGTATGCAGCACTACATTGCGCTGCAGGGTTATATTGTGTATAATGTATTTTATATGACCGCAGTCGCGCTGAATGCAACTTGGCTGCGGTGCTGTTATATAACAAAACTACATCATACGTCCACGTTTATGTTATGCGAACTTTTATTTTTCTTGTGTTTGTTGTAACATTTAGTTTTTCTCACGTTTACAAATGAAAAATTATTCCAAATTATTTGGGTTAAGCACTGTTGTTACAAAAGAAATACCGACGTAAAACAATTTAAAGATTATTTAAAGATTACTAATATAATAGACATTATAACTTTGTAAAAGGTAGTAGGAATTTTTTAGTTTTTATTGAAGTCTGTGTATTCATGATTTAATACCATTTAATATTACTAAGTCATTATTGAATTGAACAAAACTAAATTGCCATGACATTTATTGGATATTGCCGTTTTGTATTTTTACCCAACTGAAAAATATGTTTTTCATACAAATTGAGAACAGCTGCTGATGTTGGATAGAATGTGTTTCAGATCGTATTTTTGGTAGTTTCGCCTTACTAAAGATAATATTTCTATAAAAAATTATATTTGAAGCTGGAAATGACTTTAACCTGATATACTGTTTAGTATTTGTTTTTATTAGCATCCATTGTAAATGATTCCTTGTAAAGGTGATATAAGACTACGATGAACACCCGTGTATATCCATTGCGGTGTAGAGAGAATCATCACACTCGAGTAAATGTCGGCAATCACTCAACCTACATTTCGTTACAAGTTTTCTCGTTTGCGCTTTTAGTTTTAAGATGTAATAATAAAGTTGGTAGTATTGAGGTATTTTCAACATCTTCCTCCCAGCAAAGGTAAGTATAGAAATATAATTGATGTAGAACTATTAAAACCTTTATACAGTTATACTCATGTTTACATAGAATTTAGTTGTTTTTGGAATTGCCACATTGACAACATAGTGATGTTTTTGTTATCAGCACCATTAATAGAAGAATATTTATAACTTACATCCAAAAGTAAATATGCATTGAGGATATAATCTTTGCATGTAAGTAGGTAAACACCTAAGATAGGTTTGGGATAATTTATAATTAGTATTCTTCATTTGGGTTAACTGAGGCTATTGACACTTACAAAAGTATTGCCAACAGTTTTAGCAATCGAGCATATTCAAATATATAATAGAAATATTTCGATATAAACAAACTATTACATGTGTTTTGTTACAAATTTATTTTTGAAACCTAATAAAATCTATGAAAGTAGGACATAATAAAAAACAAAGGGAATAAAATTTTAATGGGTTGTTGATATTGGAATACGATGGGAAGAAATTTACGCAGTACAAATTTTAGTGAAAACCTAATATTAGCTTAAACGATCGCCAGATATATTTTTGTAGTCTACTATGTTTGAAAATACAGCCCTGCAATCGTCACACTTTTATCTCAACTGGAAGTAGCATAATCTTTAAAATCATATTTTAAAGTATTCGTTATCAGCTTTGTTGCATAACTTGTTGTTAATCTGTTGACCAGAATTTAACAGTTTGAGATCAGTTACGATATTTCTGTCAGAGAGTGTGTTTCTCTTAACATTCGTAGAATATACTTACTCCTAGGTATTAGCAGGGCATGTATTGACTTTCTAGTCTGTGGCAATAACTGTAGTCAATTTCCTATTCAAACATAACATGGTAAAAAGAACTACTTACAGAGTTTATAACTGTAAAGGTACTATTTCATAATTAGTTTTACGTACTATGATAGTTTGTGTGACTTAGACTACAACAAACTGTCCTGTCAGTTTGCCTCGGTTTAAAATTAGTTAAATACAACACAAATCAGTGACATATAAGACTGTATTGGCGGTTCAATTCTACCATGGATAAAAGAGTATACATGTCTAATGTTTAATCTATGATTCTACCGTGCAAATTTCAATTCCAAATCTACGGCTACAACATTTACTCATTCACTCTCATCTGCATCGTCAAAGGCAGTCCAAACTGTAGTGGGGGCTTTACAACTACCATAACAGTTGGCGTGACATACAAGGTGCTGTAGCTAAAACATGTTCCATTGTAAATATTTGTAGGACAAACAGGAAATTTCCTGTAAACCAAATTTTTTTTATATTCTACGATGGCCATTTTAATTCCAAATCCATGGCTACATCATGCGAACCAAATACTCACTAAATTGTACTACATTGTCGAAGTCGTCCAAACTCCACTAGAGGGTTTTACAACTACAATGACAGTTGGTGCGTAAAATATGCTGTAGCTTAGAACAAATTGTAATGCATATAGAAAGTTTTTGCTCTTAACGTTAACTAAATACGCTAAACGTTAATGTGTAGTAATTAGCGTTTACCGAGTTCAATAACGTATTGGGCTCACTATTTCACAGGTTTATAGTAGTGTTTATCGTAACATTAAACCTGTTAAGCATAAACAATTAAACATAACCTAAGTTGGAAGTGTATGCTGAGTTCATTATTAAAGCGTGATTAGATTTTTTGCTTGTACGGACTCTTTTTCAATACGGAAAACGTTTGAGATTCACCCTAAGGTCTAAATGATGAAATGGTGTTAAAAGAAGTTCTATGTTGAAACCGGAGAACCTTGATCAATTCTAGCTCCTAAAGCTGATAAAGCTAAATGTCCTCCAAAACTACAAAACCAATCGCAACCAATTATATGAAACACTAAACAATACTTACCTCTAAAGCATTGATATATACAACACCTTAGCTCCATTATACGTTCAGTGTTAGCGTTACGGAGATACAACATTCTTGGGCACTCTTACGGTGAACACCAATTTCAGCGTTTAGCGTTAGCGTTTAACGGGAAGATGCAAAAACTCTCTAATGTTTATTTGAAAACACAAATAAGTGATTTACTGAAAACCAACCTTTCAATTTAAATACGATAATTCGTAATGATAATTTCCCATAATACCTTAACATAGGAACGAGATGTAGGGACCACTTCTACCCGTAGTCGAAGGTACAGTAGTCCCACCTGTCGTGGGGGCCGCGAGGGGGCCGGGGGACGCGGTGGGCGGCGTTACACCACGTGGTAGTCAGTGTGTGTCAGTGAGCGTGTCGCGTCACATCAGGTACCGTGGTTGTGCGTGCGTGCGTCGTGCATGTGTGTCGTGTATGTGTAGGTGTACATGTGTGTCTGTGTGATAGGCGACATGTCTCCTTTAGTGGTCAGTATCCTCTTCTATCTTTGACGGATGGAATATGCCTGGGGAGGCGTTAAACGTTGAACTTGTTGCAAATTTATTTTTATTTGTTTGCTAGTTTAATTGTTTGATATAAACAACAATATATTTCTCAACATATTTTCAACCGTGATCATTTTTCAGCAGTAAAGGAACTTATGTATTTTCCATTGAAATTTTCTGGTAAACTTTTGTTTAAGATTTTAAACAGTTCCTTTATTTTTTTTTACAATATTAGAAATACTAAACTCTCTAACAAGTTTGTGAAAATCAGTTTATTTTCCAAATCCCGCGCTTGAAATCTATTCTTGTACACATTAAATGTTTATGTTAAGTTGTATATGTTTCTTAAAATGAACAAATCACAACACACAACAACAACACAATTGTGACAATTGTTATATTAAGCTTTTATGTAAGATTTTTATTTTCATGACGTGGATTTGTCTTAAATTTCCATTTTAAAAAGTAGCCTCTTTTCTAAAAGTACTATTGTTTTAAATGCTTAAATAACGATGGTGCGATAGACACACTACTAATTTCATAACACGAAAATAAAACGTCGAGTTTTGTCTTTATTTTCATTTATGCATTGTCTGAGTAAAATATAAACTATATCTATTTGGTGGATTGGATTTTGAATTTCGTTTCCAATTCCTCTAGAAGATCTAGGTTGTATATTTCTATACAAAAACTGGCATATTCCATCTCAGACTTTTAATTTAATCTCTTCTTACTCTTAAGCATGAGTTTTTATATATTGGTTGAAAAGTGTCTTATGCATGCCTTTATAAGTTTAATAGCACCTTAAGTGTATGTAGCTTCAACGTTATGCATGTAGTGCATGTAGTTATGTTACTCTTTTTAGAGGAATATGTGCCATTTACTACACAAACATATAGGAATTACTGATACTAAAATAGATAAATAAAAATGTTAACCCTTGGATTTTCTCACAAAATGTATGTTTTAATAAAACGAATAAATTTTAAAATTACCCACAAGACATATGCTAAAATAAAACCAACGTATATTTCGAATAGATATTCTACGTACTTTTTCCCCTAAGTATAATTTTATGGAATTTTTTCATTTGATATTCGCATATAGAGGCTGTGGATATTTGTATGCAACTGACCAGCTCAATAATATTTACATGAGATGTTTACGTTATTTAACGTTATGCGCAGATCGAGCGAGCGCAAGTGTGTCCAACATACGATAGAATGCGCTCAAGTCACATTGCTGCTAAATATAGCTTAATACTCGACTATACTTCCCTTTATACATATTACTAGCTGTACCCACGGGCTTTGCCCCGTTTTACTTCATAAGTGAGCTCGTTCGCATGGCTCAATCACGTCCTGGTTGAAGTTCGTTCGCTACGCTCACTTGCCTTCAGGTTAGCTTGTTCGCTACGCTCACTCGCCTTTTGGTTGCAAAATAAGCTGTCGTCATAAATTTTAAAATAATAATAATAGTGCTGCATCCTGTTGGCAATCCTTGTAACTTTAATGCTATTGCACATCATAGAACAGAACCAACTTGTTTAATTGAATCAGCTGTTATATTCATTAATTCCTTTTAAATATGAGTTAGCATGGGAAACTCCAGAGCCAATTGGGCGGAGCCTGAGAGTCCGATCAGAATAAAAACAACTTAGTTTTCCTATTTAATGCCTAAAGAATCAGTGTACCAAATTTCAGCCTCCTAGGTAAATGGGAAGTGGGAGAATTAGTGATGAGTGAGTGAGTGAGTGAGTCAGTGAGGGCTTTGCCTTTTATATATATAGATTTTGTGAAAATTTTAAGATTTTGTGTGTTTCAAAATAATGGATGTTTTACATTATTACATTAAATAAATGTGTAACAGTAGTTTATTATACGAGTAATATATCTGTACAAAATGATAGCTATATCTTTCGTATTTGTTATTTCAATGATCTGATTTAAAAAAAAAAATAGTCACATTAAAAACAATCTCACAAATGGTTTAAATAACTTACGTTTCACTTAAACCGAAAAGTACGTGTAAGGAAGGTATTGTAGTGCAATTTGTCAAAAATAAATCTTTAGTATTGACGTATTTGCATTACGAATAATTTTTATTTAATAATATAAAATTTTGTTAAACATTTTAATACATTCTAGATATATTTGATAAGTCCATTGTTAGGTATTTTTTATTTATTTTACAGATTTAAAAACTAAAAATGATTTATTGTTACCGGATAATAACAATTATTATGATTCATTACATTTTAAGTTTGAAACCTCTACGATAAAATGAGGTAATAGGACTAAAGATGTTTAAAATTGAATAACCTAAATTTAGTTAACATTTTCGTTAGTCCAATACGTAACTGGTTAAACTATGAAAGAAACATTAACTCGTTTGAGTAATAAGGAAATACAATGTATATTCTATACCAATCTGATTTGATGGTATATTAATCTATAATTATTAGTATATGGTTTGAAATCCACTAATTGGGCTTCTAATGTCCCCAAATGTTGGTTAATATCTATAGGTTTTTATAAGATAACAACTTGTTAAGTTTAGTAACTAAATAAAAATAACAAGTATTAAACGTTTTCGAAAAAATACAAAAATACAAACCTTTATTTGGACATAACATCAGTAGACATTATTGTAAAGAAATGATTTAATCACGAGTAACAAAAACATATTGTTGTATAGGAAAACCACTAATTTTCAATTATTTACTAATTGGCAATTATTAACTAAATTACACTGAATTGCTCTGTTTGGAAGAGTTGAAAATCTCGTTTCAGTAAAGAGGAGGCTTAAATATTCCAATGTAAACTGAGGGGTGATTCGCTTATCAAGGTAATTAATTGAATTTTATATGATGCAAAACCACAACAATGATAACAATGATTAAGTCGTTCTATGTGCATTGTTAGAGCTCAAATACACAATGAATTTCAGAGCCTCATAAATTATGAAACGCCATAAATGATGACAATATTTTTTATATTTCAATAACCTTACCACATTCAATTTAATATTCAATGAAATTAGTTAATTTTAGGTTACATTGTTAACTTTGATTTTAGTTATTATTTACAATGTTTTCAAATGTAGATGTTGCATTGATTTTCAAAACAGAACAATAAAATATATTGCTAAGGGGGTATTAACTAATAATTAAATTTGTGTTTGTATAGGCTACATTAAGAATTCTTGATTGAACATTAAAAATATAATAAATTTCCCCGTATCATAATCAGCACTTTTGAGTTTCAATCTCAGATATAATTCAGTGTACTTGATCAATGAATCGATGTGTCAATACAATGAACAACTTAATCCAAGACTTTGGGAGAATATAAATGAAGGTTTGATGTAAAATAGAGCAAGAACCTTGGTTTACCGATCCATGGGTTTGTTAGTGACTAAGGCCAGATGTATTTGCCCAGCTGGTAATCAATAAAACAACCAATATACATAGTGTGAAATCTGACAGGTGTATCTACTATGGTAATCTGTTTTCCCAACACTAACTTTATATTTTTAACTCTTTTTATTTAGCCCTCAACAATTTCAATAACGGAAAAATATATCCGCCCTCAAAAATTTCTTTAGCACACTTCTTTTCTTTTGCAGTCGACTATAAGGGTTAAGTGCATTATTCGGTTGAGGATTTATTTCAAGCTTATTTGTGATTAATTTATTTAAAATAGTATGGGAATATTAATATTTACTCAATTCCAGTTCTGAGTAATTAAATTAAGAATTGTATAGCCTATGTGCAGAACAAAAACTACTCTAAGTATAAAATATTATCATTACAGAAATCACCCAGAAGAAAAATTTAATATAATAATATAATGTAGTTGAAAACTGTAAAAATTTATTCTCGTATACTTTCAAGTTGTTTTTGTCGTTGATCAACACCTGACCTTGAAAATAACGATTTTAATGAATAGTAAATCTTATTATAGTTAGGAACCCTTGCATCGGTAAAAATAACAAAACACATTTATTTAATGAAATTGGTTTGGAAATATGTTGGTAAATCTTACTCTACATATTGATACTTAACGTTGGTTGTAAATTGTCTGTAATCCTCGTATTTATCGACGAAAAGCACCTTAAATGTATATTTATGTGTAGTGTCAGTATTTACTTTCCATACAGTTACCTGACAAAGTAGGTCTTCTTGCAATGATAATAGCACGCCAAGTATCTAATCGCTGCATTTACTTACTTTTGCCGCACTTTTTTTGCCGCACTAATTTTTTTCCGAACTCCATGTATTCCAACCAACACAAAACTGTGTGCTTTGAATTAGGCAAGTAATACGTTTACACTTGAAAATAAGTTGGTAACACTTAAAGATATTACAACTACTATATTAACAGCTGGTGCAGCATTTCCCATTTAGTCTAACGTTTGGATTTGACCTAACTTAAAAACGTGTTGTATGGTGTTCGAAAGACTAATTATTTATATGCTTTATAGTAACTGTAGGAAAAATATAATGTGTAACGTGAGTGCAAAGTGCCTTTGCACACTAGTTACATAAATAACTAATTACGACCTCTTTTTTAAATTGCACTTAATTTACTGCACATACAAGTAAGTAACATTTATTTAATAAACTGTTTACCGAACTGAAATATTTTGGTGCACTTTATCCGAAAAAATTATAAATAAATACAATCAAACATTTTTTTACATATGAAATGTAAAAAAACGTATTTCATAAAAATGATTTTATTCAACATGTCATATTCAAGAAAAAAAAAACGTTAAAATGTCTACCTTGTACTTAAGATATTTTTTAATCGTATTTAAGTACTGGACCATATAATTTTATGTTTAGAACAAAATGTATTCTAGATTGTTACGTACCTAGATAAATATTTAAATATATAATTCTGCTTTATAAACACAATTAGTTGACTATAGAAGTAATGTGGGCATTTTCCCACGCCTGGTTCAGATTATTCTGTATA